ATGTTGCTCAGGCTGGTCTTGAACTTTTGGCCTCAAGCGATCCTCTGGCTTCAGCTTTCCAAAGTGCTGGGATTGCAGGCATGAGCCACCACCTCACCTGCCCTGACTTAGTCCTAAATAAGGAAATTAATTCTTTACAATGTCGGGGGCAGGGATGAGGGAAACTAAAAGTCCAACAACAGAAACTAGTTAAGAAAATCACAGCCATTTTGTTTACCAAACACATGCCAACATTAAAACAAACATCTTAACAATTTTAACATGACATTTTAACATAAAATCATTTTAATAATTTTTTGTTAACATTAAATGAAACAAAGCAAGTTAAAAAGTTTGCACAGCATGCACAGCATAATATCTCATGTTAAAAATATACTAACATGGTGAAACCCTGTATCTACTAAAAATACAAAAAATTAGCAGGGCATGGTGGCATCTGCCTGTAGTCCCAGCTACTTGGGAGGCTGAGGCAGGAGAATCCCTTGAACCCAGGAGGCGGAGGTTGCATTGAGCCGAGATCACACAACTGCACTCCAGCCTAGGTGACAGTAAGACTCCCTCTCAAGGAAAAAAATAAATATATATATGTGTGTGTGTGTGTGTGTGTGTGTGTGTGTGTGTGTATCTGTGTGTAGAAGAAAAGACTGCAAGTATATTTTCCAGAATATTAACAGTGTACTTCTGGGTGGGAGAATTATGGTTTGCATTTTTAAAAATCATAGTTTGCAATATTTTTCCAATGCTCTATAATTAACATACATTATTACTTGTTTTAGTTTGTTATAACTTTAAATCTTTTAAAAATGGATATATTCTGATTAATTGCTAGAATTTTTCAACCTCTGCCTCATTTTATTAATTCCAGAAAAAGACGAATCAAGGTCAAAGAGAGCTATTAATAGAATTTCCACAAGAAGGAAAAGCAAAATAAATAAGACAAATATATAAAATTCTGTTCTAGGATCTGAGTCCTGATGGAGAAATCTCCAGAGGTAAAACCGTATTGAAATTCCAGAAACATCATCACCCTTTTCACAACAGTACACCAAAAACTTACAGAAGGCTCTGTTGGCAGCAAGGAGTTACAGAATCTCATAACCACTTGGGTCCCCATCTTCAAGTGTCCCTAGAAGAGCTGAATCAGGGCCAACCTTAAAACAGAAAGAATAAGAAATGTACAAAATAACAGGCCAGGCAAAAAGTCTTTTTTAAAGCTAAACCAACCTAGTTGGGGCCAGGCCCCTTTCCAAAACCTACCAACTTAAGTTATCTCGAAGTACCAGAAATGGGACCCTGGTTAGCAGGAAGTCCAGCTGAAGATATTACAAACAAGCACAACAAGGCTATCACAGTGGCATTTTAAATTTTATTTTTATTTTTTTAGAGATAAGTTCTCGCTCCAGCACTTAGGATGGAGTGCACTGGCGCAGTCATAACGTACTGCAGCCTTTAACTCCTGGGCTCAAGTGATCCTCCACCTCAGCCTCCTAAGTAACTAGGACCACAGGTGTGCACCACCACACCCAGCTAAGCCAGTGGCATTTTAAAACCTAGTTGGTTAGGTATTAATAGTAATAAAAAGAAGAGTAATACTCTTCTATCATTAGTCAAGCAACAACGCATTTTCCCTTCTTCCTATATTTATCAGTCAAGGACCACGGGAAGTATTCTGAAGATAATCAGCAGAAATACTGGAAGCTCTGCCAATGGCATCTACTTCCCTCTATCCTCAGAAACTCAGTTTTGGGCCGGGCGCGGTGGCTCAAGCCTGTAATCCCAGCACTTTGGGAGGCCGAGGCGGGTGGATCACGAGGTCAAG